TATCAATGTGTGTATATACATACATACTTGTGTACATATTTATACAAATACACACAGCTTTATGCATTCACCTTTGGACAGACACTTGAGTTGCTGTCCTTTCTTGGCTATTGTAAATACTGTTGCAATAAACATAGGAGTGCATATATTTTTCTAAAGTAGTATTTTTGTTTTCTTTGGATAAATACCCAGTAGTGGAACTCCTGGATCATATGGTAATTTTAATTTTTTGAGAAACCTCCATCCTATTCTCTCTCCAGAGTAGCTGCACCAATTTGCATTCCCACCACCAGGGAATGAGGACTCTTTCCTCTACATCTCTGCCAACACTTGTTTCTTGTGTTTTTGATTTTAGCCATTCTGACCAGTGCAGGTGGTTTCTCTCAGCGGTTTTGATTTGCATTTTGGATGACGAGTGATATTCATCTTTTCATGTGTCTGTTGGCCACCTGGATGACGTCTTCTTTGGAAAAATGTGTATTCAGGTCCTCTGCCTGTTTATCAATATAATTATTTGTTTTTGATGTTAAGTTCTTTATATATCTTGGATATTATTTAGTCCCTTATCAGATATATCATTTCCAACACCTCCCATTTTGTAGGTTGCCTTTTTTGTTTTGTTGGTGGTTTCCTTCACGGTGCAAAGTCTTTTTATTTTGGCACAGTCCCAATAGCCTATTTTTGCCTTTGTTTCCCTTGCCTTAGGAGACATATCTACAAAAATGCTGCTAAGGCTGATGTCAGAGCAATGACAGCCCATATTTTCTTCTAGGCGTTTTCTCGTTAAGTCTTTAATCCATTTTATTTTTGTGTATGGTGTAAGATGGTTTTTCAAGATGCTCAAGTTAAAAACAGTGAAACTCTAATCGTTGCCCCATATTCCTAATGTATATATATTTTCTACATTAAGAAAATTCAAGTTAGTTAATATAGTGTAATAATAATTTCAGGAAGAGAATTTAGTGATTCATCACTTACATATACCACCCAGTGCTTAGCCCAACAAGTGTTCTCTTTATTGCCCTTCACCCCTTTCTCCTACGCATCACCTCACCAACAACCCTCAGTTTGTTCTCTGTAGGTAGAGTCTCTGTGGTTTGTCTTCTCTGTTTTTATATTACTTTTGCTTCCCCCTGCTTGTGTTCATCTGTATTTTACCTTAAATTCCGCATGAGTGAAATCATAGATTTGTCTTTCTCTGACTTATTTTCCTTAGCATAATGCCCTCTAGTTCCATCCATACTGTTGCAAATGGCAAGATTTCATTCTTTTTGATTGCAGAGTAACATTCCATTGTGTGTGTGTATATATATCACACCTTCTTTATCCATTCATTAGTCGATAGACATTTGGGCTCTTTCTATACTTTGGCTATTGTCGATAGTGCTGCCATAAACATTGGGGTGTATGTGCCCCTTCTAATCAGCATTTTTGTATCTTTGGGCAAATACCAGGTAGTGCAATTGCTGGGTCATAGAGTAGTTCTATTGTTAGTTTGAGGAAACTCCATACTGTTTTCCAGAATAGCTGCATCAGTTTGCATTCCCACCAGCAGTGCAAGAGATCCTCTTTCTCTGCATCCCCACCAACATCTGTTGTTGCCTGAGTTAATTTTAGCCATTCTGACAGGTGTGGGGTGGTATTTTATTGTGTTTATTTTTATTTTTTAAATACTTATTTGGAGAGAGAAAGAGTGTGAGAAGGTGAGGGGCAGAGAGGAGACAAAGAATCAGAAGCAGGCTCCAGGCTCTGAGCTGTCAGCACCGAGCCTGATGTGGGGCTTGAACTCATGGACAGCGGTATCATGACCTGAGCTGAAGTTGGATGCTTAACTGACCCATGCTGCACCCTTCTCATTGTGGTTTTGACTTGTAGTTCCCTGATGATGTATGATATTGAGCATCTTTTCATGTGTCTGTCTGCCACATGAATGTCTTCTTTGGAAAAGTGTCTCCTCATGTCTTTTGCCCATTTCTTCACTAGATGTTTTTTTTGGGGGGTGGGGGTTGAGTTTGATACATTCTTCATAGATTTGGATACTAGCCCATTATATGTCATTTGCAATACCTTCTCCCATTTTGTTGGTTGTCTTTTACTTTTGCTGAGTGTTTCCTTTGCTGTGCAGAAGGTTTTTATCTTGATGAGGTGCCAGATTATTTTTGCTTTTGTTTCCCTTGCCTCTGGAGACATGTCAAGTAAGTTGTTGCAGGTGAGGTCAAAGAGGTTGTTGCCTGTTTTCTCCTCTAGGATTTTGATGGCTTCCTATTTTATGTGCAGGTCTTTCATCCATTTTGAGTTTATTTTCGGGTATGGTGCTATCCAGTTTTCCCAACACCATTTGCTTGAAGAGACTGGTCTTTTTTCCATTTGATATTCTTCCCTGCTTTGTGAGAGATTAGTTGGCCCTTCCTCCTAATATCTCTTTTCCTGGTAAAATACCTCTAACATTCTATCTGCTGCCTCCTCTTCACCAACTCCCAAGTGATTACTTGGCCGGGTTCACACTGGCTTCCAACTTCACCCCTCTCCTTTTGCTGGGGTCGTCCAATGCTACTGTGCTCTTCCTATTAAAGAAGGGCCAAGTGTGTTGAGCTAAAAAAAAAAAAGTATACAACCCCTTCAACGTTAGAAGAAAAAAAAAATGGGGCACTTGGCTGGCTCTTGGCACTTGGTTGAGTGTCTGGATTTTGGCTCAGGTCATGATCCCAGGGTTATAGGATTGAGCCCAACGTCAGGTTCTGTGCTGGGCTTGCAGCCTGCTTAAGATTCTTTTTCTCTCTCCCTCTGCCCCTCTACCCAACTCATGCTAACATTGAAAAAAAAAAAAAAAAGCAAAAACAAAATGACAACAAAAACCACAACCAAATAGAAGATCCTTTATTCAAAAAACATTCTCAGAAAAAAATAAAATTACGTTTTTGAGAATACTTAGAAAACTGAAATAATGTAAGCATTCCCTAGGAGATATGGTCAAACTATAACCTGGGAAAAGGTATAGTGTTAATATGTTTTCACTATTAACAAGAAAACCTAAACATTCAACCCAAAAAGGTGAAAGGGAGGAGTAATAAGATACAAGGAAAGCACCAGGGGGTGGCTCAGTCAGTTAAGCATCCAGACTTCGGCTCAGGTCATGATCTCACGGTTTGTGGGTTTGAGCCCCCCCATGGGGCTCTGTGGAGCGTGCTTTGGATTCTCCCTCTTTCTGTCCCCCGCCCCCCCATGCTCTGTCTCTCTCAAAAATATATTTAAAATATTAAACAAAAACAAAAAAAACCCAAGGAGAGTATCAGGGCACCCGGGTGGCTCAGTCAGTTTTCTTGATTTTGGCTCAGGTCATGATCTCACCATTGTGGGATAGACCCTGCATCAGGCTCTGTGCTAGAAGTTTGGGATTGTCTCTCTCCCTCTCCCCTGCTTGCTGTCTCTCAAAATAAATCCACAGTTAAAATAAATAGCCAGGCTGTTTTCCTAAATTGGCCATACCATTCTATAGACCATCAGTAACAGATGAGAAGAACTGGCTTCTCCACATCCTCTCCAACACTTAATGGTGTGTTTAAATTTTTTATTGAATTGTGTCACTGAGGCCAACAATAGGAGTTATTTCTGTAACCTGGATACAAGTCATCCTTTCATCTGATAGGTTCTGCAGATACTTTCTCCTAGTGTGTGGCCTTGTATTTTGTAATTATTTGCTTTGACAAACATGGCTTGTGGGAAAGCCACAAGCCTATCATTGAGTGCTTACTTGAACTCACCTCTGTGAGGAGGGGATCCCATGGTTCCTTTTTTTTGCAGAGGAGGGAACTAAGGCGCAGCTAAGAAGTGGCAGAGCTGAGCCTTGACTCTAACTTATTTGGCTCATGTCTGTGCTCTTACCTACTGCACCTGCTGCTGCTTAAGTGAGAGGCTGTGCGAGCCCCTTGACACGGTGCCCCGAATCTGGACCTGGCTCCACAATCCTAGTGAGCTGTTATTCATCGGTTACCTCCATGCACCACACTCTCCCAAGCCGAGGCCGCCACGGGTTACACAGATGTTTGAGAACCTAGGGACCCAGGCGGGAAGTGCACATGAAGGCTTCCCTGGTCTTTGTAAAATCTGGCTTGGGCATCAAGTCTCTTCCTATCAGTGTTCCACCCTGTGCCCTCCACGCGGCTCCTGGGCGGGGAGGGTCAAGTGTTCACAGAACCCTACCTTTCCATTGGACCCGTCCCCACCCTCCTCGCCCCTCCCTCACACAGCCCAGAAGCCCAAGGTCTAGACACAGTTTAAGAATACTTGCGGTCTTGAGAGAACCCGGAGTTTGAGGATATCACACAACTACCCAAAGCACGATCTTTCCAGAATCAGCTATTAAACACATTTCAGAGTGGGGATCTGCTGGCTCCAGTGGATGTGAAGCAACTCTTACCAAGTCAGTAAATTTACCCACATTCCTATTTAATTCAGAGTTAAAAATCTGTTATTTTCTCAGTGAAAAGTGCCTTTAAAAACAATGGATGCAATAACAAAGAGGTTTTTTTCCCTGTGAAACACAGAAAATGCAAATTTTCCATAGTTTTAATTTTAGAAAACCAATACTTACACCATTTAGAGAAAAATACCAGGAAACTCAAAATGTTGACGATCAAACCTGCCTTGTTTCAGGTTGTCAGTGAACATTCTGTGGTTCCCTTAACCCTCTAAAGCTTGGAGGGAGCACGGCTTCACCCCATCTTATGGGACTTGAGAACACTCAGCCATTGTAGGAAGTGGAAGACCTGGAATTGTATTCATGCTGATTTTCTCTAGTTTTGTTAGGGAGAGCAAGCGAGCACGGGTGGTGGGGGGCAGAGGGTGAGAGAGTCCTACGTGGACTCCACTCAGTGCAGAGCCCAACAGGGGGCTCAATCCCACAACCATGAAATCACAACCTGAGCGGAAACCAAGAATCGGGCACTTAACCACCTGAGCCACCCAGCTGCCCCTCATGTGGATTTTAAACTTTCTTCCAGACAGAAAAGAGAAATCCAAGGATGAACAAAAGGAAAAACTCACCGTGTGGGTCACAAGTATGTATATCTTTTTTGTGAACATGCTCTTCCACGCACACAAACGAGAAGAAGCCCTCAAGGAGAAAGTCAAGCAAGACAGGCTGCACGACGCAGCCGTGGCCCAGCGGCAGAGGCTGGAGAACGAAGAGCTGGAAGCCAGGTGACCTACCAGAGCCCCTCAGCCCTCCTTCTCCAGGGGCACCTCCTGGCCCTTTCTTCCTGACTTTAGCCATGTGTGGCTTCCTGAGGGAGGCAGCTCCTCTGGTGGTGCCGAGAATGCAGGACAGCAGGGAAGGGTTGTGCCTGCGGCCACTGGCTCACTCGGAGGGTGAGGGCGCTGGGGCCCTAAGGCTCACACCGAGCAGCAATGCCACATGGTGGCGGAAAGGCCACAGCGCTAGGTTGCCGGGTTCAGACCCCCAACCCTACCCCTTGACACGTGGGTGGCCCCAGGCAGGGCCGGTCACCGTGCCTCAGTTTCCCCATCTGTAAGTGGAGATGATCCCCCCTAGGGCTGTGGTGGCCACCCCCTACCTGCTGTTCAGTGACCTTTCTTGAACCACAGTCGAGAACCATGTAGTCACATCTGTCCAGGGTGCTGAAGGCTGCTCTTTGCAAAGCACGCCTTGAGCCGGGTGGTCTGTTGACGAAAGCATTAAACTATACTTAAGGGCAAAGATGACAATATTTTTAAAGGCCACTTACTAGCGGTTAAGTTGCTACAGAGGAAAGGGGTTCAAAAGTCACCTTAGCTATGTGACAATGCCATTCCAGGCTGGCTGAGTATGGCCACCCTTTCCATTTGAGGCAACTTGATGAGAGGTTAACAGTGTTGGTTGCAAAAACTGTTGCAATCTAGCTATGGCCTACTTTATACCACACACAGCGTGAAACTGGTTTTGAGATCGCAAAGTACGGAAGTGAATAAAGATACCTCCCTGGGTTTGCTTCTGGTGTTAGGCTCAACAGCTTAAGAGAGGAAGAGACCAGAAGACAAGACGACGAGGTGGACATCACTGTGATCAAGGAGCCGGGGGAAGCCCTCTCCTCCAGTTGCACAACAAGCCCCACTAAAGAGGACCCCATGGTGCCTCAATCCAGCAAGCCTGTCACCAGCAAGAAGAAGAAGAAGTAACAGTTACCGGGGTTTTAAACGAACCCCAAGCAGATGTAAAAGCTCAGAATCGAAGCTCTAACACATTTCCTGACCAATAAAATTGTGTTTTACCTCATTTTAGTGGTTTTCAAATACTGCCGGGGCTGCTGCATTTCAGGTTTCTTACATGGCTGGATCACAGACGTGCCTGAAAACAGAGCTGAATAAAAGTACACACGTGGGTATTAAATGAGGGTGCGTTCAATGTATTTTTTTCTTTTTCTAATCAAAGCATGGTTGTGGTGATGAAATTTAGAATCTGATAAAACTCACCAGAAGACAGGTGGCAGTGGGCAACCTTAAACATTTCTTCAGGCCCCTTGCCTGAGCCTGGACCTCCTCCTTTGCCCCTCTAACCGCCCCGTGTCCCAGTCCTCCCTGTCCTCAGGTGTGGCGTCTTCTCCGGCCCCTTCCCTTCCCCAGCTCCGCAGACACTGCAGGAACAAGAAGCCATGGCGGACAGGCTGAGGGACAGGTGGGATCAGCACTAGTGAAATTTGATGTCTCTGTCAGTGTTATGCTAATGATTTGGGGTGACCACCAAAAGCATAAAAATACAATCCAGTGTCCAAACCAGTGGAGGGAAGGAAACGATCATCCAACATGAAGCCGGGGAAAGGGGAAAACAACCAAGAAAGAAGCTGGAAACTGAAATCGCCAGAGGTGGTGGGAAAAGTGCCAATATACCTCCCCAGTGTGAGCAGATTCCCTTCCCACCCCCCAAGCCCCCAGATAATTAGCTTGGGTTCAAAACAGAAACCCATTTCCATGTTTAACAAGGAACCCTCTTAGACTTAACTCTTAACAAAAATTAGAACCCTCCAACTCTTAACAAGGGAAACCTCTTAGAGCACCTGGGTGGCTCAGTCAGTTAAGCGTCCCAACTCAGTTTCAGCTCAGGTCGTGATCTTGTGGTTCGTGGGTTAGAGCCTTGCAACGGGCTCCACACTGACAGTGCGGAGCCTGCTTGGCATTCGGTCTCTCCCTCTCTCTCTGCCCCTCCCCCTTCTCGCTCTCTCAAAATGAAAAAACTTAAAAAGGATAAAAATAGAGATGGATAAAGATGGACCAAGAAACTCTAATCAAGATGACTGGAATAGTGAGCAGTATTAAAAAGAACAGAATTTAAAGCAAGTATCTGCATAACAGGGATAAAGCTAGAAAAAATAAAAAGACCAACAACCAAAAAGATGCATTATTCATCAGAATCTTAGTAGCCTTGCAAAAGCTGGCAGAATTACAAAAAAAACAGATCAAAAAGACAAAAATTTAGTGGGGATAGATATTTTAAGAAAGGAAACTAAAAACTTTGAACACACAGAAACAAGACCGCAAAAGAGAATAAAGATGGACTGCATTTGATGGTGAAAAGTACAACTTCAAAGGATACATTCGAGATGATGATGTCATTGTGCTACAATTACTAAGTCAGCAACGAAAGCACAATACAGGAAGGCCATCACCAGAAACTAAAACACAACCTCAAGTAGCTCAAGGGTTAAGAGTGATTCAGGATTTCATAATGAAACTGTAAATTACGTAAGACACAGGAACGACAAGCGTGTTCCAGATGGACAAGAAGTCATCCGCCCTCCGGCCTTGACGTAACGGGCTCATGCGGGCTGCGTGAGGGCAAACAGTGAGACACCCTATGGAGCTAGGGTGGTACCAGTTTTCCCAGACCCTGCCTGGCTAGTTTCCCCCTAAACTGGGGTGTCCAGACTACCAATTGTTAAATAAAATCCAGGGGCACCTGGGTGGCCCAGTCAGGTGCCCAACTTTAACTCAGGTCATGATCTCATGGTTTGTGGGTTCAAGCCCTGCATCAGGCACTGTGCTGACAGCTCAGAGCCTGGAGCCTGCTTCGGATTGTGTGTCTCCCTCTCTCTCTGCCCCTCCCCTGCTCACAATCTGTGTCTAAAATAAACATTAAAAAAAAAAAAATTAAATCCAGCCAAGTTCTGTCTCAGCTGTGAAGATGCAGGCAGTTGTGGCCACGTGGGACTTCTACATGACAAGTGCAGATGCTTTACGCTGAGACCATGGCTGGGGCACTTCACTGAGGTCCTTTCTATGATACACGGTCTAAAAATCACATCAGTACTCAAGAAAAACCAAGGTCTCACAACTACTCTGGGCAAATGGCTCAGAGTTTGCCACTGTAGGCCTAGTGATGGGGAGGGACCTGAATTCTGGGAAGCTCTAGCGGCTAGAAAATCCCAAGGATGAGCCAGAGCCGGGGCCCATGGGGTGGAGTGGGCTGCAAACAGCCAACAGCGAGAGACTCAAAGCAAAACCAGAATTGTAAAAACCTTAACAATTTATTAGTCTTAGTTTCCAGTAAAATATTCACATAATTCAAAAGAATGGAATGATGGGAGATGTAGCCAACTACCTTTAATTATTTCCACATAAATATTTAAAATCTAAAAACCCCAGGGGATCATCAGACTGAGTAGAAATTTGATTCTTCAAAGCAAGTATTGCTTTACTATTGTCATTAAGTCAGTCAATAATATGACCGAAAACCTGCAGGGGTAAACAGAATGCCTGCGGAGTTGATTTTTACAAGACGTTCCGGCGAGCCATTATCCGTCAGTCCAGGAAGAATATGTTATTGAACTGCGTCGCACACAGTTTCTTCACCTCTTCTGCAGAAAACAGAAATGGGGAGTGAGAAATAGGTTTCCACTGAGAAGGGTCTATGCTACAGACACGCAGACTGGTCACTTAAGCTCTTATGGAATACAGCTGTGAGGAAATGGCTGCATTTGCTGACCTTCAGTCTTGGGCCTGGGCAAGAGACAGGGGACAAAAGCCTCATGTGCCCCAGGGTGTCAGTGCTGTGTCAAAATCATGTGCGCTCCTCCGGCCTGGGGAAGGTGCCGGACTGCCTCACAAGCGCCTGAGACACCCACCAGCTAGGGGGCTGGAGCCCAATGTCTAAAACGTGGGGCCATTGGGTACAACAGCCCAGAAACCGGAGCTGCCGCCCAGGCTGTCAGTCAAGTGCTCTGCAGGGGCGGGGCCAGCCTGACACCGCTCAATTCCCACTGCAAGGGGCGGCGCTCCCTGAGGTTTCTAATGGGCACCTGTGTCACTACTCATGCTGACAGGAGAGAACCGTACAGTGTCCCAGCGGGTGTGTGTGGGGAGCGCAACCTCACACTAACTGTCCTCCTATGCACGGCGCTCCCCCAGACGGCCCACTCCTTGCTCCAGGCTGCATGTGGCACAAGGGAGCCGGATGCCACAGAGGGGACTCGCCCCAGGGCAAAAGCTGTCAGGGTCAGCCAAGGTCACTGCGGGAACCACAGCGCACGCGACGGGGCCTGGAAACTGCCAGTGAGCCGGCCCGCTCTGCTGTGGGTGGGTCTCTGGTCACCGGGAACTGAAGGAGACATCTGTACACACAGCCTATGAAGCCTTGGGATTTCTTTTCTTTTAGCTCATTAGAGAAAATAATTTTCCTTTGGCCACTGCCCACTTTCCCAAAATACAGGGACTTTTTCACAACTTTTGCAAGGAACTGTGCTTCAGGAGAACACAGGACGGATCAAAGGACGGTTTCCTTTGACACCCTGACAGTCATGTCCCTTCCCTAGTGGGTCTCAGAGCACACAGACGGGGCTGCAGTTCCGCTCCCGGGCTGGGGTCTATTTACCATTTACTTCGATCAGGTTTGCATTTTTCTGATTCAGGATAACATACAGCTCCCGCTGGTCAGACTTCTTCCCGACCACCCAGTAGTCGCTCATTGCTTTTACGATGATTTCCTCGTCCTCGTCCACCCTGCAAGGCACACGTTCCAACATGCAAGTTTGTCAGCTGTTTAGCTGGAGCACCAAACACACTCTCAGCTAAGAATCCAGAAACTAGGGGCGCCTGGGTGGCTTAGTTCACTGAGTGCTAACTCCTGATTTTGGCTCAGGTCACGATCTCACAGTATGGTTTGTCTGTCAGCACAGAGCCTACTTGTGATCCTCTCTCTCTCTCTCTCTCTCTCTCTCCCTCCACCATCCCAACTCTTCCCCCCCGACCCCCGGCTTGCACATGTTCTCTCTCAAACATTTAAAAAAAAAAAAAGAAAAAAAGGAAACTAGCCATTTGAAAAGTCTGTGCAAGTAGCCAGTGGCCTGGGGGCCTAGTGATTTGTCCACAAGTGGGGCCTCTGAGGCGGCTCCGGGCGGCTCGGCTTTGAAGAGGTTTCCTTCAACATCTCTTCTCTCTAGAAAAGGGACACCTGCTTTGAGAAGGTCTTAGAATTACCTAGTAAAGTCACTGTTGATGTCCCCCAGAATCTTCATCAAATCCGGATGCACGGATGTGAGCGACACACTCGGGGTTTTCCTCATGTGAATCGTACTTTTCTCTGCTAAATTCATATGGTTGAAGTAGATAAACTTAAACTGGGGTTCTTTTTCAGACCTGTGAAAACACGTCATCAAAATGGTAACAGCCTCAAAGAGTAATTCTCCAAATAATACAACTACGCTGTTAAAAGCTTAAATCCATATGGCTAAGTGAGGCCTGGTATTTTCGATGGCTGGGCCTTCAAATCAAGAATCTCAGTTAGGATGTAACAGGCTCTTCATTCCCTAGTAACTTCTTTGATATCTATGAGGTATTCTGCAATTTTCCAAAAAGCTGAAGTTTAGGGTTTGAAAAATCAGTATTATAACCATTTTGTGATGATTTCCCCAATAACAGTGCTTTGGAAATGGCAATCACTTGATTATTCGCTGATTTTGCCTTTTTAAAAACAAATGCAACCTAAATACAGGCCATCTTGTCTTCTAGCAGAGGGGTCAGCAAACACATGAGTGGCCCTGGGACCAAATGTGGCCATTTTAAAAATAAAGTTTTATTGGAACACGGCCACACCCGTATGTTCAGGTATCGTCTATGGCTGTTTTCACAATTCAACAACATGTGAGTATTTGCAAGATACTCAGCTGCCAGGATCTGGAGTATGCATTACGTGGCCTTCTGCAGAAGCTGTTTGCTGACCCGCTGCAGGAGCAACAGCCCATTCAGCCCTCAGTGTCGGGGAACGAACGTGCTCCCTGCACTTAATCTGCCACAGAATTGAAGTTTGCCAGTCTGAGTCGCAAAGCGTTCATCGCCCTACATGGAGACCATTCTAAGACATATCCGGCACTTCTGCTGAAGAGTAAGGAGTATTCTGATTGGAATGCATCTCTTATTGTCTGGAATGACTGGACAGTGCTACTACGCCACCTCCCAAGTCAGAGACCCGACTCCTCACGGAATCACTCCGACAGCTAGGCCTCAGCTCCCAGGACCCCCCGCCCTCCCTCTCACTGCACCCTTACGTAAGTGACACCCTGGGGTCTGGGGACAGCCTGAGCAGCCCTGCCACTGGGGGACTCGGAAGCCTTCTCTGCTTACTTCAGGGTTAGCAGCCATGTTCTGCTGGGCTGAGGGTGCCGGAAATCCGACCTCCGGACAAGTGGGTTACTATTGTATTACTTTACATCTAGGCAAAGAAAGAATGTGGATGGCTTAGTTTCCAGGAAAATGAAGAGAGAACTCTTATAAAACCAGAATATGTTTTCAGTCAGTCCCTAAAACTAGAAGAGCAAGTATAACCCCAAGAAACACCGGAAAGACGAAACATTTCAAAGATGCTTAGCAAGAGTTGTGAATTTAGTTGTGTGGGTAGACAAACTGCCACCCAACCTCGATCGGGACTACAGTTCTGGCTCCTCTAACCCCAAAACGCTCTCTGTGGCCTCCATGTTTCCCTCATCCGGAATGTGTAAAATGCCCTTCTCAGAAGACCTCAACGATTTCTTTGGCACCCCCGATGGAGATTCACATGAGCCAATGTTTAGTGGTTATGACAGGGGCAGATGTGGCCTCTTTCCACTCTGCCTTCGGCGAGGGGAACATAAGAACAGAAACAGAAACACTGCTACCTGCTCTTTCACTACTAAGTTGTACTGCTGATGACAGGAGGAGAGACCTGCTCACAGTGAAACCAAGGACAACGTCCACCCTACAGGCTTCTTAGTTACACCACAAGGACCATCTGACGAACGGTGCACTCGTTTTGAAGGAGCAGGAGCCATGGTCAGCTTGTATCTTTTCCAGAGAGCTGGACTCCTTTTAGACACCAAACCATTTCCCCTCCTAAACACAGAAACACAAATTTCTTGCCGTCTTAAAAAAGAATACGCTGTGTACACTTAACGACGTCAATTGTAAAACACACCAAACCCAGAGAAATACTACAGATTTCATGATGGTTTGTTATAAGGTTAGGTTGATGAGACCACAGCACAGTAACGAAGAACACAGAAAGGTGGGACCTGTCTTACATGGCTATATTCTACTGTCTCAGTTTGTATGTCCACTCATTTTTTAAAAAAAGATTTTCAGGGCACCTGAGTGGCTCAGTCGGTTAAGTGTCCAACTTTGGCTCAGGTCATGATCTCACAGTTCATGAGTCTGAGCCCTGCATCGGGCTCTGTGCTGACAGCTCGGAGCCTGGAGCCTGCTTCGGATTCTGTGTCTCCCTCCCTCTCTGTTCCTTCCCTGCTCGTGCTCTGTCTCTCTCTCTCAAAAATAAAGACTAAAAAAAAAAAATTAAAAAATAGATTTTCAATCTGCCCTTTGCCCCTTTCTTCTACTACCAGCTGAAAACCCAAGTAGCTGTGATTGGTAGGGTCACAGGGACGTTTCCCATGAATAAATGGCGTCAGTTTTATTGAGCTGCCAGGGATGGAGACGTTTAACGACCAGGTAGGTGTCCACCTTGCCAAATTCCCCAAGCATGCCAGGGAAGTCACTGCAGGCTCTGAGCCACGGGAGGAAGCCAGCAGATGTTCAGTAGGTGTCTGACTGTTATAGCGTTTCCCTGGGGACGTCAATGTCTGGCTGGGGCCTCGAGGCCATCTGGTGGCTTGACTTGTTCTGGGCCTCATTCCAGGAGGCTGAGGTTTGCCAGACACACGGTTTCTAGGTGAGGATGGTTGTTCTACACTTAACAAGCCAAACAAAAAGGGAAGATTATGAATTGGCCAATAAGGATATTGTCAAAAGGAAATCTGGTCTTAATGTGGGAGTTACACATTATAGCTCTTGCTCCTCTGCATGGCCAGGGTGGGCATAAAGAGGCACAGCTGAGCCCTTGGAATATGCACGTGAACCGTGCCCTGGAAGGAAGGCCTCTCCACCCGCGCTCCCCCTGTTCCACCTCTGCACGCCGGCCAGGCCAACTCACCGCCCTCGCCTCCCCCCTGCCTGGCATCGCGTCCTAGGTCTCATCGTTACCCACACCCAGTCCATGGCTGCACTCCTCACTGCATCCTCAATCTCCTAAGCAACGGGGTTGTTGCTTTTTTTACGAATCCTTTCAAAGAGACTGATAAAAAGGACTGTAAAAATTACCCACAGGAGTCTCCTTTTCTTTTTTTTTAAAGGCTTCACGCCTAGTGCAGAGCTCAACCTGGGGCTTGAACTCATGACCCTGAGATCAAGAGCTGCGCGGAGATCAAGAGTCAGAAGCTTACCTGACTGCGCCATCCAGGTGCCCCCAGGGTCTCCTTTTCTAACACCTCTGTACCTCCTCTTCCTCACACCTTTTCAAATTTAGTATCAGAACTGGCTAATGAAGAGACATACATGAAATAGAAATGAATACCTCAGACTCAGAAAATTCTCAATTTGGGGGAAAATATCTTAAGTTAGAGCCCTTCCTCTAGTGCTTAAAAATTCCAGGTAAAATGGATCAAAGACCTAAATGTGAGACAGAAGACCATCAAAACCCTAGAGGAGAAAGCAGGCAACAACCTCTTTGACCTCAGCCACAGCAATTTCCTGCTTGACACACCTCCAAAGGCAAAGGAATTAAAAGCAAAAAACTATTGGGACCTCATCGAGATAAAAAGCTTCTGCACACCAAAGGAAACAACAAAACTAAAAGGCAACCGACAGAATGGGAAAAGATATTTGCAAATAGCATACTGGATAAAAGGTTAGTATCCAAAATCTATAAAGAACTTGCCAAACTCCACACCCGAAAAACAATAATCCAGTGAAGAAATGGGCAGAAGTGAATAGACACTTTTCCAAAGAAGACATCCAGATGGCCAACAGACACATGAAAAGATGCTCAACATCATTCATCATCAGGGAAATACAGATCAAAACCACATTGAGATACCACTTCACCCCAGTCAGAGAGTCAAATTAAGAGCTCAGGAGACAACAGATGCTGGCGTGGATGTGGAGAAACGGAAACCTTTTGCACTGCTGGTGGGAATGCAAACTGGTGCAGCCCCTCTGGAAAACAGTGTGAAGTTCCTCAAAAAGTTAAAAATAGATCTACACTATGACCCAGCAACAGCACTACTAGGAATTTATCCAAGGGATACAGAAGTGCTGATGCATAGGGGCACATGTACCCCAATGTTTACAGCAGTGCTTTCAACAACAGCCAAATTATGGAAAGAGCCTAAATGCCCACCAACTGATGAAGAAGATGTGGTTTATACACACAATGGAATACTACTTGGCAATGAGAAAGAATGAAATCATGCCATTTGCAGCAATGTGGATGGAACTGGAAGGTATTATGCGGAGTGAAATAAGTCCATCAGAGAAAGACAGATATCATTTTCACTCATAGGGGAAACTGGAGAACTTTCCCCATAAGACCATGGGGAAAAGGAAGGGGAAAAATAGTTACAAACAGAGAGACAAACCATAAGAGACTCTTAAATACAGAGAACAAACTGAGTGTAGGTGGGGTGTGGAGGGGGGAATAGGCGATGGGCTCTGAGGAGGGCACTTGTTGGGACAAGAACTGGGTGTTGTATGTAAGTGATGAACCACGAGAATCTACCCCCCAAACTAAGACCATACTGTACACACTGTATGTTAGCCAATTTGACAATAAACTATATTAAAAAAATCAATTCCAGGTGAATTATACTGAGCCGCAGAAGATAAAACCATAAAAGTACTTGAGATAGAAACAGCACACTTTTAGGCTACTGGGGTGGAAAGCTGCAAGCATGAGAGTGAAAACAGAAATCTATAGGGAATGACCAATAAAACTGACCATGTATAAATCCCAAATTATAAAAAACAGTAAAACCAAAGTTAGAAAAACATATATGATATGACTGAAGTACCCTTCTTACGTTAAGAGCACTGACGTAAAAGAAAAGATATAAAGCAGTTCATTGGGAAGAGCCAATGGACCCAGCCATGCAAGTTGTGGAAGAGACAGAAACGTCAACCTCAGCATCAGCTGGCAGACCTGAAGAGGTGGCACCGCCCCTTGTGGGAGATGGCTGTCACTGAGCATTCCTTCTGCCCCAGTCCTCCACTCTTCAGACATCTAAGAGGATGAGTAGATGTCAGGCCTATTTGAATGCTACCAGCCGGAAGCAACTACCCATCACTGGAACAGCAGCTAAACAAACAGAACGCATCTATCCAATTAAGTACCGAGAAGTCATGAAACATAACAGGCAGGTCCATATTTGTTGGTTTAAAATTATGTTCATGCCACATAGTTTTTAAAAGCTACAGATTTACAGCATGATCTGTTTTAAAAAACCCATCAGTAAAGGGGCATCTGGGTAGCTCTGTCAGTTGAGTGTCTAACTCTTGGTTTTGGCTCAGGTCATGATCTCACAGTTTGTGGGATCAAGCCTTGCATAAGGCTCTGCGCTGACAGTGTGGAGCCTGCTTGGGATTCTTTCTCTCAAAATAAATAGACATTTTAAAAAAACCCATCAGTGAGGAACACTGTGTATGCCACAGTTTACATATGTGTACAAGTCTAAAAAGATACAATATTTATATTTTTGAATTAAAAAACTAAGGCCATAAATTACTCTCAAAAAAGATTTAAAATAATTGAACTGTAGGTCCATGAGTAGAAAAAGGTTGAGGTGTCATAAAATAGAAACCAAAGATTTGGGGTGCCTGGGTGGCTCGGTCAGTTAAGTGTCCGACTTCGGCTCAGGTCATAATCTCATGGCACATTGAGCTCAAGCCCCGAGTCAGGCTCTGTGCTGACAGCTCAGAGCCTGGAGCGTGTTTCAGACTGTGTCTCCCTTTCTCTCTGCCCCTCCCCACCTCACACTCTTTCTCTTAAAAATAAATATTAGAAAAAGAAACCAAAGACCAAACAAACCTACTTCGTGCCATTCTTTCAAGGGGTGACCTCAATTTCATAAAGAGCATTACAAACTGTAGCTTCTGTGTAGGGATTCGACACTGAATGCTACGCCCTGAGCTAGCCCCACGGGTGCTGTCCAGTGGGGGTGGGGCTGAGAGAAGAGCCAGACACGCAGGTCTTGGTGCTGGCCTGTCCTGGGCTCAGGACAGCTGGGCACTGAACACAACACTCCATGTCCCAGCAATGGCCTGGAGGAGCCGATGCAGGGGTGTCTCGCCTCCCTCAGGCCTGCCTCCCTTCTTCCGGGTCCTGGGACTGGCTGGTAAAACGATTAGATCTGGGTCAGGAAGATTTCCAGAAGAAGAGTGCTTTATCTTTTGTACTCAAAAGCATTTCCTTCTGTCAGCTGATACTTATGGTTTGGCAAGTGAGAGCCACTTACATATAAAACCTCAGATGCATCCAGAGCAACTCTAAGGTCAACTTAAAAAAATTGTTTTTACAGGTTTATTTTTGAGAGACAGACAGAAAGCACAAACAGGGGAGGCGAAGAGAGAGGGAGACAGAGGATCCGAAGCAGGCTCTGCACTGACAGTACAGAGAACAATGTGGGGCTCGAACTTACAAACCCATGAGATCATGACCTGAGCTAAGGTCAGATGCTTAGCCAAATGAACCACCCAGGCGCCCCAGGTCAACTTTCAAAGTCAAAAACAACATGCCTCTGGAGACCCTGGTGCTTGGGAATGGCCCTAAGTTGTATGCTTTACCATCAAGCTTTCCAGGTGCCCCACCTTCCAGGCGCTGCTGATACTACACGGTGTTCTGGTAACTGTCAAAACCCGTCCCCCGTGACAGACGGAGCTGTGCTAAACCAAACACGGCCAAGTGCTAACTGTGGAATCTACATAGGGGGTTGCGTGTGCGTTCACTGTGTCATTTTTCAACCTTTCTATGTCTGGAAATTTTTCTAATAAGGTATCAGAGAGAAGACTGCTTTCTAATGAAATTAGATAATTAGTAATATCCAAGGCCCTGTCCTTTCTTGAAACTATCAACTTGGGGGAAAATATCTTCCTTCCTCTGGCCCTTAAAAATTCCAGGTGAATTAAAGATTGAAACACAGAAGATTAAATCATCAAAGTACTGGGGATAAAAATGACTTTTTTTTTAGTTTATTTTTTTAGAGCAAGCGAGCGAGTGAGTGAGCAGGGGAGGGGCAGAGACAGAGGGGGAGAGAGAGAATCCTAAGCAGGTTCCATACTGTCAGCACAGAGCCCCACGTCGGGCTCAAACTCATAAACCAAGAGATCATCACTTGAGTCGAAATCAAAAGTTGGATGCTTAACTAAATGAGCCACCCAGGTGTCCTCCCAACTGGCCCATTTTTAGGATACTGGGGTGGAAAGCCACAAATACGACACTGAAGACAAAAATCTAATGGAAATGAACTCTAGATGCTGGCGAGGATGTGGAGACACGGGCACCCTCCTACACAGTTGGTGGGAATGTAAATCGGTACAGCCCCTCTGGAAAACAGTGTGGAGGTTCCTCAGGAAACTAACAATAGAACTCCCCTATGACCCAGCAATAGCACTGCTAGGAATTTACCCAAGGGATACAGAAATGCTGAGGCATAGGAGCACATGTACTCCAGTATTCATAGCAGCACTCTCCACAATAGCTAAAACATGGATAGAGCCTAAGTGTCCATCAACAGATGAATGGATCAAGAAGATGTGGTTTATCTATACCATGGAATACTACATGGCAATGAGAAACAATGAAATCTGGCCATATGTAGAAACATGGATGGACCTTGAGGGTGTTCTGCTGAGCAAAATAAGTCAGGCAGAGAAGGACAAATATCATATGTTTGCACGTATAGGAGGATTAGGAGGAACTTGACGGAGGAACAAGGGGGAGAAGAAGGGCGGAAATGGTGGGGGAAAGGGAGAGAGGCAAACCATGAGAGACTCTTGAATGCTGACAAAAACTGAGGACTGATGGATGTGGGGGGGGGGGGGGGATGGGCATGGAGGAGGACACTTGTGGGGATGAGCACTGAGTGTTACGTGTAAACTAATTTGACAATAAACTATTTGTAAAAAAAAAATCTAATGGAAATGACTAATTAAATGAACTAAATATAAATCTCCAATTGTATATTACAAAAAACAGCAAAACCAAAGTTATACAAAGAGAAAAATGGGTGTGATTTTGGTACATCCCCAAGGACAGTTAACCTTCTTTACAGGACAGAAGGCGCCCGACAGGAGGACCACTTCTCATGTCTGTCGCCGAGTTACTTGGCAGGCGTCACGTGGAAAGCACAGGCAGACGTGCCCAGCAGTGTCCCAGGGCCTTAGGGAAGCAGAGAACCACACCTTGCCTCTCTCCACTCCACAGTTCGTATCTTGCACGATACCAAACAGACCTGACTCACTGCTGCTGCCTTCAGAAAAGACAATCTGGAAGTTTCATGGTGAAAGACTTAAACAGCGCGCGGTGCCCCAAGATGCAGAGCGGGCGGGTGCACTCACTTCTCAGCCTGATCTTTTCTCATGCCAAGTAAGCTGCGGCTGGGAACAACCCACATGCACACACCACGGCCACACAGGCCTCCACCTGCCCTGTCTAGGACCGCTCTACAGGCTGGTGCTTCCCTAAGACCACACACCCAGCAGGGCATCCCTGTAAACACGTAAATTCACACATTAGTACCTTCTTAAATATGTGGGACATCATACAAAGAGGGCTTTTGTTTCTCCAAGTACTTCCCCTGAGCTCACTTAATCTTTCCAGCGATCTGAGCTTACAATGAGAGAGAAAGAGAAGGTTCAATGACCCTCCAGTGTTCTCAGAGCTAAGAGGAGTTGAATATGAGTCTCCCCACACTGAGTGAGAGCCCTGCACACGGCATAAGACTTGGGCCCAGTGCCTACATCGCAGCTACCTTCACCTCACACGTTTCCGCACGAGAGGCAGTGTGCTTTCTGTCCACATGAGGCATAACCCTGCTGGCTATGTGAATTTCACAAACGGGGCTTGTCAAGGGGGTGTGAGGTGGGCCTCAGGAGGTCCAGCCCACAGGCACAGCCAGCATGCCGAACACTGTACGTTTATGCCACAGTCAGCGGAGAGCTGAGGGAATGTGTCCACAGAAGATCAGCACCCCCCCCACCATCCACCGTCATGGAGCAGAAAGGCTTAGGAACGTTCTCCAGGGAGCTTTGCAGATGGGACTGATTTTTTCTCTAGGTTCAGAGAAAACACAGATGATGATACCACCCGTATTCTTAAATAAAAGCCACCCTTATTCTTCCCAAACCAGTTAAATGCTAGAGAGTAAACACGAAGCAAAGTACAAACCCAGACATTCTTTTGTTGATGTTAAACTGCTCACATATGTCTGATGCCAGCACTGTGAGCTGGGGCCCAACAATACTGTCCAGTCTTCGGCAAAAATCCAGCGTAGGCTGTACAGATGCTAACGGGTGATTTAAAAAACAGCTTTGTTACAATTCTTTGCACTGAAAAGCTCAATATTCATCTAACTGTCTTAATCACAGTATTCCTGTGAATAAGTTCCTGATCTGGAAAATCAAACAATTAAATGACTGGATCTCCCTCCACACCCAAATCGAAGAGAAAGAGAAGAGTCAAAATTAGTTCTACTTAAGGTGAAAAAGAGTCAAAGACGTGTCTCACTGTGAATAGTGATTTAAGCACACCTTGTGGGGCTGTGAATCGGCGGCCTACTCCAGGTAGACCTAAGAAGCTCAAATACTTAACAAACACTATGTGGCTCTCACGTCCCAGGTGCTATCTGGTGCTTTACAACACATTACCTCAATGAATTCCTCTGTGCAAAAGGTCTTTTTGTAACATGTCACAGGCAGGGAGGCACAGAAAAGTGTCCAGGGCCTGCTGCTAGGAAGCAGGAAGCCTAGGACATCACAAATACGAACACGAGCTAGTTACCAGGGCAGAGATCACAGAGGGGAGCCGTGCTTAAAGGTGCCTCTGTGACAACACGGTTATTGTTTAAGAAGGGAACACGGCAAATTATAAAGAGAAAAGGCTTATCTACTCAAGCTAAAGTCAGATACGGTGGGTACCTACCATCAATCATAAAGCACACGGCTGCACTCATGGCCTGGGGAGAGAAAACAAGCCACAGATTACAAAATGGCGCCAAAAAAGAACTTCAATAACCAAATGCAGTGGTCCTGTCTGAATCTTCACTTAAATCATGTGATTTTTTTGGGGGGTGGGGGGTGGGGGGGTTAACTGGAGAAATGTGGACACAGAATAGGTATCAGGTGACATTAAGTATCAGCAGTGCTAATAACACAGTGGTTATGTGAAAACAGGCGCCTTTATTAGAGATGCAAACTGAAGCTTTTATGAGTGAAATGACAGGATCAAACACGCTCTAGCAAAAAACATGCAGAGAAGACAGATGAAAGATTAGCAGCCTGTTAATTAAATTAAGCTGCATGATGGGTGCCTGGGGAGTCATTATTCTCGTCTCTATTTTTGTGTATGTTTGAAAATCTTCATGAATACAGTTAAAAAAAACAGCAAATTAATGTCTCCTTGTCTCCCTTTTGATTACAGCAAATGTTGCAGTTATGACACTGGCTACAGTAGCCAGACTAGAAATCAAATAACCAAAAATGTTTCCATTTATCACAGCGCGGTGGTAGAACAGCTACACAAAGATGCAATCTTGGAGGCCTGCACCTCCAGGCAGCCACTTCTGACCGTTTTAGCTGCTGTGGCTCTACCGCTGTACCCTTCAGAAGTCACACTGGTTCCCTACTCATATCCCCTCACTGGCCTTCCTTTTCTTCCCTGCCATTCAGAGCCACTCTAGTTTGTCCACTGGTCACCTGTAAGGTGGCCCATTTCTCACACCACAGCCCCAGGTATGAACTCCTAGATTGCTATTTACTTACAATTTTAAAAATTTATTGGGGGGGGGTGGTGATCGCTAGTGGGGGAGGGGCAGAGAAAGTGGGAGAATACCAACCAGGCTCTGTGCTGCCAGAGCAGAGACCGTCGCGGGGCGCAATCTCATGAACCATGAGATCATGACCTGAGCCGAAATCAAGAGTCACATGCTCAACTGACTGAGCCAGCCAGGCAACCCATGGATTGCTGCATTTTTTAAAAAATTTCTTTTAATGTTTTATATGTTTTTGAGAGAGAGACAGAGTGTGAGCAGGGGAGGAGCAGAGAGAGGGAGACACATGATCTGAAGAGGCCCGTCTGGCTTAAACTCATGAACTGTGATCATGACCTGAACCACAGACACTTAACTGGCTGAGCCACCCAAGTGCCCTGGAATGCTGCTTTTTAAACAAGGACACTTATCTTCCTCATCTCTGCACCTCTCCCCACATTCACCTCCTGGCCTCCAGCAGCTGCAACTCGAGTTCTACAGTCATGCTTGAGAACGTCTACACTGCTTGTAACCGAATCATGATGATCACCCACCTATAAACAGACAGCAAAACTGGGGACTCATAGGTGACTTCTATCCAATAGATGTTTCCTTCTGTGTAATTTTGACTTCGATGCCAACTAGTTTTCTACCAAAATTCTACCCACCATCCAGCCTCTCCTGAAATATCAGGCCATCTGGGACCAGCTGTGCATTTCCAAGGTGCCACCCAGTGGATGGGAGTGGCCGCTGGCCTCGCTGTGACACGTGCGATGGTTTCACAGTACCTGCACACTGAAGCCCCATCCACTTGCTTCCCTCACGTCCACCACCTGCAGGGTTCCTGCAGGGATTTGCACAGGTGACCCCTCATGGGTTGGTTTTTTCAAATGTGCCTTGCAAGCCTCTGGTTAAGAACGTGAACTTCAAATACACAGAAAAGCACAGAGAATGGCATAATGAACACGATAGAGCACCACTCTCCCAACATCTGGCAGCTGATGGACAGTCCTGTCCCCCTGCCCCCCGACCCTGTCACCTACATGTTCGTCTCAGACACCACACTGGTTACCCCAGATACAGACCAGTAGGGTCTACAGAGGACCAGGACTCGGGAGGACGTGCAAAATGGTGGCACGAGGAGCCCCACAGACTCTCTCCTCAGTCAAACAACAAAATTGGAAGAGATTATAAAAACCAGCAATTTAACTTTCCAGAGGGAAAGTGTTTTACGGGCAAATGGCAGATGGAGGACTCTCTCTTCAGGAATATCTATGGAGCCTGAGTATTAACAGCAGCAGTCTTTACAACCTGAGAGCCGTCAACACATATGCTAAAAAGAAAAAAGATCTCAAATCAAAAACTTCAACTTCCATCCTCAGACCTTGGAAAAAAGAAAAGCAGAGTAAGCCTAAAGCAAGCTGACAAAAGAAGAGAATGAAGATTAGAGCGGAAATAAATGAAATAAAGAATAGAAAAATAACAGGACAAGCACTGAAAGTTGGTTCTCTGAAAAGATGAGCAAAATTGAAAGACCTTTAGCTGGACCAGCTAGACCACGTGAAACAGAGGAGATGTAAATCACTAACGTGAGCAATTAAAGAGGGCATATAACTAATGACTTATAAAGGAAAATAAGATTTTTAAGGCTATAAAACCATGAAAAATTCTATATGAACAAACTGAAAAACAAGCAACGTGAACAAATTCCTATAAGCAAGTGAAACGGACTCCAGAAGAAAGACGCTAAAACCTGTTAGAAGTACGGAGGCTAATCATTTTAAAACTTCCAATGAAGAAAAGCCCAGATATAGATGGCCTCACTGTGACCAAATACTCAAAGAACTAAGAGCAATCTTTCAGTCTTCCAAAAAATAGGAGAGGAGGCGGCACTTCCCAACTCATCCGGAGGCCAGCTCTACCCTGACAGCAAAGCCAGAAGATGAGTCAAAAGGAAAGGAAAACCACAGGCCAACATCCCTTTGGGCCCCGAGCCCGCCCGGCACCCGTGGATCTCTGGAGGGAGACTGAGGCTGGCAACGCTGGCGGTCAGCTGAGTCTGCGGGGCCAACGCCCATTAAGAATTCTGGACATCGAGGCCCATCAAGCTTCCGTGGATGGCAGCACTGCACACACGTCCCACGTCACCGCGGGCAGGAACAGGCCCTGTGCACGGTCCCACCGCAAGAGGACAACGAGGCTCCGGGATCCTGCCCCGCATGCCTCTCCCCCGGCCGACGCTCACCTGCACTCCTCTGCTGTCAGAAACCGTATGAGGGGTACCGGCCGCTCCGAGGCCTCTAGCGAACTCCCGGGCCTGACAGGTGTCCCAGGAGCCCCTGGGCCAGCAGTGTGTGTCCGAGTGAGGGTGATCCTGGGGACCCCTGCACTGTGCAGTTAGAAACCACTGAACTTGACCACATTAAATGGGCAAATTACATGGTATGTGAACTACATCTCAACAAACCTGTTTTGAGGAAGAGAGAACATTTTGAAAGAAATAACTGTAATGTCCCCTCACCACATTTAAAATTCTATCTACTGATTTGACTCTAAAAATGGAAATCCTATGAGCAACAGATTCTATTAGGGTATTTCTTCCATTAGGGTTCAAAGTCACGACCCTGAGCCATTCAGAGGAGAATGATTTTAAGTCTGACAGAGAAGCGCCCCCCCCCCGCCCCATATGCCACACTTCACTTCGGATCATTTGCAGACACATCTGTTTGTAGGTCTTGCTTGGGATTCTCTCCTTCTGTGCCACTCGTTAGACACCCAGCGTTTAATCAAATCTCCTAGTCCTACTATTGCACGGATGAAACGCCTTTTTGTTCTGGAGTCCCCGCACCCAGGACAGACCCCTTTCCTCTGATTGAAGGAAGGACGCATGGGGTACCCTTTCTGAGACTTTTCACGTTTAACACGTCTTTCTTCGATATCACTATAATGGATGGTTTGGCTCAGCAAAGAATTCTACATTGAAAACCATTTTCTCTCAGAACTTTTCAAGTCTTCCTTCCCTTGTCACCTAACATCTACACCCATAGGGAAATTGCTGCTAATGTCAGTTTTATTTATAGGTGACCTGATTTTCCTTCTGGAAGCTTCTAGGATCTTCTCTTTATACTTCTGAAACTGCCCATTGTGTGGGTAGGAGTATCTCTTTTTGATTCACTGTGTAAGACATTCAGTGGGCCTTTCCGTCTGGGAAACGTGCACCTCTTCAGCAAGATGCAGCCTCATACACACTTTACTATCTTCCTCTCCTCCACTCTCTGTAAATCACATGTTGAAATCCCCCTCCCCCATCATTCCTCCAGATTTTCATCTTGTGTCCTTTTATCTTAGGCTCCAGGCAGGGCAATTCATCTTTAGCCCTTATAATGAAGTTCTGTCAAAAATTATATCGTTTCAGGGGCCAGGGGCTAAAAGGTTATTATTTAATGGGTACAGAATTTGTGTTGAAGGAAAGTTCTGGAAACAGTGGTGATGGCTGCACAATACTGTGAATGTACTCATGTCACTGAACATTAGTTGGAAGATGGATTAGAATGTGGGGTGCCAGGGTGGCTCAGTCAGTTAAGTGTCCAACTCTTGATTTTGGCTGAGGTCATGATCTCAGTGTTAAGCATGGAGCCAGCTTGGATTCTCTCTCTCCCTCTGTCTCTGCTCCTCCCCTGCTCACGCTTTCTCTGTCTCTCAAAATAAACATTTAAAAAAAGATTATTAAAATGGCAAATTTGATGCGATGCACATCTTGCCCCAATAAATACCCTGAAGAATTATATTTTCAATTAACCTAAGTTTACTCTAACCTGGACTCTTCCCTGTCTTCCTGCTTCTATTTTATAGACAGATCTCTCACCTCTGTGGATGCTAACTTTTAAAAGTTCTCTGTTCCCAGAGTCATTCTGTTTCTTTCAGGACCTACAGTTTTGTTTTCTACACACGCTCAAGGATGAGGCAGTATGTGGCCAACCATGGAGGGAGACTTTGCTCCGGGGGCAGGAAGAGGGCAGCAGTCACATGGGCACCAGAGACGCCACTTGCTCCCAGGTGCTCATGCCCACGCTGGCCACTCTAGGGCTCCAGACCAATTTTCTTTAAAAGGACCCTTGACTTTCAAACTGGTAGATAGGTGCTCAGCGGCCTGCGTGCAAGGACAAGAGGGGCTGCCAGCTGATTCATACACATTTCACTTAATCTCCCTCTTTCCAAGCTCGCTTCTCCCTCCCGACCCCTCAGGTGTGTCTCTGAGCAGGGGGCTTCCGTGGGGCGGGTGGGCTCTTGCCCTGGCACACCCCCTCCACCTATGCCCTCCACCAGACTTCCTCCATCAGCACCACGCTGACACCCCCCTTCTGCCTTCCAGGGAGAAACCGCTCCCTCGTGCTCTGATGTTCACCTAATCCCTGTGCACTTATGCCATTGTTTCTAGGCCTTTACAAGTTAAAACATAACTGTGCTCTCAGGTGGGGAAGATGAACATACGTGCTTAGCCTTCTTTCTTGAACCAAAGCCAACTTTAAAAATAAACTAACCTAACAAAGGGGCACCTGGATGGCTCAGCTGGTTAAGCTTCTGACTCTTGATTTCAGGTCATGATCTTGCAATTCGGTGGTTCGAGCCCTACATTTGCTATCAGCGCAGGGCCTGCTGGGGAATTATCTTTCTCTCCCTCTCTCCCTATCCCTCACCTGCTCGCTCGCGCACGCTCTCTATCATAACAAATAAACGAACTGAAAAAAACCAACAACCTAACAAGATGATATCCTGAAACAAACAGAGACTCACATTATAGAATCAGCAAGTCCTTGGCTTTCAAATCCACAAAAGCAGAACTCGCTGAAGCATGGCCAGGCTCACAACAGAGCGCATGTGACTATGAGGTAACACAATCTTTGGCGACCTCTGGCTTGTGAGCGCACAGGACTTCAAATACTGGTGAGGTGGAGCAGGATTTGAATACAGATACAGTATTTGTCACGGACACAGTGATTCTTTCACTAATAACAAAAGTACTGAAAAGGAGCCGAAACTAAGCCAGCTGTGTCAGAAGAGCATCCATTGTTGAGTTACACGGTAATCAGAAATTTCAACGTCTGTTCGGAGAAATAACTAAGAGGTGTGTTCGTGCACACACTCACATACACATGCAAGAAGGATTTACTTTTCGTATTAATCTGCGACACCAGCTGGAAAAACAGCTGTTACCTTATAAACGATTAAATGCAGTGCTTCATATGTATCGTCGGTATTTACAAAAATTTTGGGGAATCTGCATTTTGCTTCTGGATCATTAAGGTTCAAGGGTCCAGTAAGAAATCTGAAAAGCAAGCACAGAAATGACTTCAATTAGGTAAATTACAAACAGGAATATATTCCTACTTAGTATATATTCATTTTGGGGGAAAAGACACCAAATCAGAGCACGATAAAGTTTTAACTCACTGGAGACGACAGAATTTCCTTGGCTGATTATTGCCAATAACACAAAGGTAATTCAGTGTTGATGATTTATCTTTACCAAAAGCAATGATAAATTCTAATACTGTTTATCAAAGAATACAAGTTTTACCTTCCATAATGTTGAAGATTTCCTGGCATCTCTGCCCTTACTGGAGAATCTCTTCCTGCCAACTGTAAACAAATTCAAAGTTTAGAAGCGACTTAATATATTTTCTACTTTTAAAGCTTTGAAAACAGCACTCATATCTACTAGTTGGCTCCAGGCCGTTTTTCTGTATTGTTCTCTCCTCTTCCTCCCCACCAAAAAGAGAGAGGAAGGACTACAGAGGTACATAAAAGAGGCATTGATATGAAGCAGAATGATCATAACTTGATCGTACCCTCACTCCATACATTGATTTAGTTCCTTTTATGGCAATAACCAAAATCTCCCACGTGGTTAACAGAGGCGAGGCAAAGACCACCTCACAGGACCCCCAGAGAGAACATGCTCTTCCTCTTTTGTGTTGGTGGAAACTAAGTCAGTGGAAGTTCACCAGCGCACACAGGTCCTATGGGGCAGAGCCGGGCATGGCCCCCAAGCCTGTCTGACCTCAGAGCCCCTGCCTTCAGCCAGGACGTCATGCCCCTGCGTGGATCTGGATGTGTAGCACGCTCCTCACATTCTTCTGCTGAGGATGTACTATTTCAACGTGCAGAGGAAAATGGGAGAAAAAAATCCAAATCCAAGTCGTGTTAGCTAAAACTTGTTACTCGAAAAAATTTTTGACATTCTTTTACGCTATATAAAATCTTAGCACATAACTCCCCTCCCCAAAGACTGAAAAACATTCGAAACGCACTAGTAAAACTGGAAATCTGAATCTCAGGAGTGCGGTCACAGTGAGAAAGGACCTCACATGTCCACACACGTTGCCACATTGTGTACCGTGGCTTCGTATTTTATAAGCCTGACTCCTTGGTCACATCATGAAGCACCAGAGTTTCCTGTTGCAGCAGAGGCGCGGTCACACGTGGAAAAGCCTCCCGAGGGTGTAAGCAGGTGCTTTAGTGCCCAGCAGACCCTGAGACCTAGTCCTGGCCCTGCCACTTTCTAGCTAGTGACCACGGGCACGTCACCGAGGCCCCCTCAGCCAGAGCATCCAATCTGTAAGCTGGGCATCCAGACTCTCAGGATGGTTATCAGGATGCCTAAGAACATTCCTGTTTGTTGGGCACTTGCTATTGTGTCTGGTACACGGCACATTCTCAGGAAACAGGAGTCACTGCACTACAACTGCCTAGAAAGGGACTAAGTACAGGGCTAGGTCCTCCTCAAAACCTTACTTTCGATGGTTTTTTTCTTTCTTTTCTTCTTCTTCTTCTTCTTTTTTTTTTTAGTAAGCTTCACAACACGGGGCTTGAACTCACAACCCTGAGATCAAGACCTGAGCAGAGATAAAGTGTGATGCTTAACTGACTGAGCCACCCAGGGGCGCATCAATTTCTTATCAAAGATTTTTACTATCGTTTCAACATAGAATTTTAAATAGAGGGAGGTCAAGGAGTGAGTCAGCACCTGAGCCAAAACAGTTTCGGGCTATGAATATTTTTCATCTTCGACCTAACGAGAGCTGGAGAAGGGCACTCTGGGGCGAAGGCTGCAGCATTACTTACTGGTCTCTGCAGAAAGCCAGGAAGTCAAGCGCCACAGTGGAAAAGCCACTTGGGCAATACAACATGTACTGTAATGACGTCTCATGCTTGTGATGACAAGGCTACAGGGCTAACCTCTGTTCTGTCAAAGATCCTGGGTGTTTTCCAGTTCTCAGAACCCTACCTAAAATCCCAGCTTTTCCTCTGCTCAGTGAATTGCTCCTCTTGAGAGCAGACCTTTGCTATGGTAGTTGAACGTAACAAAATGAAGAAGAGCTGGTGTACGCGGTTTTCTGCGCTAAGGGTACACAACCAAATACACGTCAGACCAGCAACGCAAAACACAGATCAGAACTACCCCACTCACCACCGTGTTACTCTGCCCTCATCCCCAGCCCCCCAGCCCGGGGTGTGGGTGTGTGTGTGTGTGTGTGTGTGTACACACAAACATACATACATCGAGGAAACACACATATGGCAGGGGGAGGGGGAGAGACTAGACCGGCCATACCTCAGGTTCAATGTGCCTTGGAAATAGAGATGTGGTGAGGTATTTGTATAAAATTCTCATGTCATCTTGTTCTAACCCACTCCTGAAATATCAAAAAAGCATAGCGTTAAAAGCCTGGAACTGGTCTTCCATCTTCCTATGGCTCTGATTATAACAAAGCTCCTCTTTTTCTCGTTTCCATTTTATCAAGATGCCCTCTCTTTGACTGGCAAGTTGCAGAAGGGAATGGATTCAACCAGTCTGGCACTAGCAGTCATCCTGACCTGGCGAAGGCTACTATCGGCCGTCTTGTATTCTATATGCCATTTTAAACAAAGAGCCACTGGTCTGATATGATGGGACTTGATTCTCTGCTTGAATTCCATGGAGGACTCTTCCAGGAGCATGAACGACCCCAAAGCTCCACTTCAGGCCGCAGCTCTCCCTCCACTTTCCAGGCCACACGGGAATGCACATGCTACCGCCCGCATGTGCAGCATCCCAGCAAACACTGGCATGCTGTGGATGGCGGACTTGCTCCCACTGGGTCTCAGAAATGCACGTGCATTTTAATTCTATGATTTCCATGTAGGCAGAAAGCAGGAAGAGAAAGAAACTTTCAGGCAGATCTAATCTGACATGAGGTGAGAATAAGCAGCCTGTGGAAACAGTGCCGATACCCTAACAGGCATCAGACCCTATTCGAAGTCAGGTCTGTAGGTAGGGGTATATAAAACAGACGATGAAGAAGAGTCTGTCTGGGATTCTTTCTATTCAAGAGGATGGAAAAAAAGAAAAAATTCTGTGCTGAAATACACCTTTATATAAATCAAGCCTCTACAGGATATTCCAGAGGCTTCTTGCTCTGCTTTTCCCAGAAAACCCATCTGTTAGACAAATCTGGCTTCTCTTGGCAAATACATGCTGTTACCTTGCCAAGACTCTCCCACCTTTTCCTCTTCCTATGCCACCCTCTTCTTTCCAGGTTCAATTTTCCTAAGGTCTGGTCCACAGCTAACAGCGTAAGGGGGGCCTAGTCCCTTAGGCAGATTTGTTCTGTTTTCGGCCAAGGAGAACCTTTAGTGTTTGTCCGAGGACAACCCTAACACACAGCCAAACGAGGCAGAAGGAATTTCCAAATCAAACTCATGAAAAGTCATCTACTTTTTCCTCTTGCATAAAAAAACCTCAAGTAAGTAGAGAGAGAGAGAGAGAAAGGAAAACAAAACCATTTCTGGACTTTACTGTACTTTTGAGACACGAGTTAGAAGTACCGCTGGGGCGGGGTCGTGGATGGTCACATAGAAGAGCGCTTCAAGTATTATGTGCCGGGCAATTTCTAGAGCTGCATTTCCAGTAACAGCAGCTATTGGGCCCACCTGGCCACTGAACACTTGAAACGTGGCTCATCGCAGTGAGTGCTAAAACACACACTGGAGTTTTAAGATATAGCACCAAAAAAAACCCCAAAAACTGGTCATTAATAATTTATGTTTTCACAAGTTAAAATAAATAATCTGGGCTAAAATATTATTACTTTCACCAGTCTCTCTCTTTTTTAACATAGTTTAACTACCAGGAAACTTAAAATGATACATGTAGCCTGCACCCAGTTCTTTTTGGTTGTTGCCGTGCTAGACCACAGGGCGTGAAACAGAAAAAACCTGGCAAGAGGAAATGGAAGAAAACACTACTTAACTGCTTCCTATGTGTGCTGTGATTAGGCCTCGGTTTTTACTATTTCACTTAAGACTCAATGCTAGGCATTGAGTATTTTCGTGCTGGTTTTCTGGATCAAAAGCTTAAAAAGAAAAATAGTAAGTTGCAGCCAGTGGTCCAGAGCACACAACCCCAAGCAGAGGATTCCCGCTCTGCCCGCAGAGGCCTGCCCTAGCGGTGGGGTCTCTGTTAGCAACCCTCCCCCCAGTGTTTGCCACGCCCAGCCTACTTCCACTCCCCTACAAAATAAAATACAAAATATAGATGCAGATAACAGGTTAAAAAAAAAAAAAAGTTCTTTAACACAAATAAGCAAACAGATTATAAATACATAAAGCAAAAAATCCCTGCACTGGCAGGTCCAAACGGTTCAGGACTCTATCAATGACTCCCATCAAACAGGAAACAGCCCACTCACATTCAGAAGTATAGGTATTCCCTCAAAGTCTCTCAAATATAGTTATTTAATATGAATAATTTAAAAACTTTCAGTCTAATTATTTTGACATAGGAAAAAAAGAGAACATGAGTGGGGAGAAGAGCAGAGAGAGAGAGAGGGAGAGAGAGAATCCCAAGCAGGCTCTGCACTGTCAGCAATGAGACCAATGCAGGGCTCGATCTCACAAAACATGTGATCATGACCTGAGCTGAAAACAAGAGTTAGATGCTTAACCGACTGAGCCACTCAGGTGCCCCATTATAATTTTTTTCTTAAAAAACAAACAAAAAAACAACTTTTCTTCAGCTTTAATCTCAACTGATCCACGTGTGTGCAATGCAAAATCCTTTCTACCAGGATTAAGTTTCATCTACAATACAGACTACATTACTGTCACATAGTAAATATAAAAAATAATCTAGTCCAGATCCAAGAATATGATCAACCTTGATTAACTTAAGAAGTATATCTATGGGGCGCCTGGGTGGCTTAGTCGGTTAAGCGTCCGACTTTCGCTTAGGTCATGATCTCGCGGTTCGTGGGTTCGAGCCCCGCGTCGGGCTCTGTGCTGACAGCTAGGAGCCTGGAGCCTGCCTCTGATTCTGTGTCTCTCTCTCTGCTCCTACCCCACTCATGCTCTGTTTCTCTCTCTCAAGAATGAATAAACATTTAAAAAATATTTAAAAGAAAGACACAAAACCAGATTAAATGCCTTATACCATCTACCAATCTGAGAAGCCTGGTGATTTCTGTGTGTGTGTGTGNAAGAAAAAGCAAAAACAAAACAAAACATGCCAAGAACTCTGGACAAGCAAGCTGACTGACCTCCTACCAAACAGCAGTAATGCCTAATGTTGTTGTGGCCACTGTAAAACCAAATCCATCCATGAAATGCAACACAGTCCAAACAGAACTAGAAGAGGTTTTCTACTAACCATTTGCTCACCACCAACATTTACCGAGCACATACAGTGTACCAGGTTCCAGCCATGTCCTGGAACAGATGGATGTTTCTACCCTCAATCAGTTACTTTCAAAACAATGCAGTAAGTAGCAAACCCAAACCATCAATACATTAAAAAAAAAATCATATACCATGATGAAGTGGGATGTATTCTCAGAATGCAAAGGTAGTTCAATGTTCATAAAACAATCCATGTGATGCAGCACGTCAGTAAGAGAAAGGATAAAAACCATATAATCGTTTTAACCGACCCAAGAAAAACATTCGATAAAGTACAATATCCACTCATAAAAACCCTCTGCAAAGTAGGTCTAGAAGGAACATACATCAACATTAAATAAAGGCCATATATGAGAAACTCACAGCAAACATGATACTCAAAGAGAAAACACTGAGGGCTTTCCCCCTAAGATCAGGAACAAGACAAGGATGTCTTCTCACCACTTTTATCCAACATAGCACTGGACGTCCTAGCCACAGCAATCAGACAACAAAAAAATAAAAAGGCATCCAAGCTGGTAAGGAGCATGTAAAACTTTCTCTATTTGTGGATGACATAATACTGTATGTAAAAAACTCAAGACTCCACGAAAAGCTGCTAGAACTGATGAATGAATTCAGTAAAGTCGCAGGATACAAAATCAAGGTACGCAAATCTGTTGCATTTCTACACACTAACAATGAAGCAGAAGGTGAAATTAAGAAAACAATCCTATTTACAACTGCACTAAAAACAATAAAATATCTAGGAATAAACTTAACCAAGAAGGTGAAAGACCTGTACAATGAAAACTATAAAACACTGATGAAAGAAATTCAAGGCAACGTGATAGACATTTGGAAGAATAAATATTGTTAAAAATGTCTATGCTACCTAAAGCAACTTATACGCTTAAAGGAATCTCTATCAAAACACCAACAGCATTTTTCACAGGACTGTAACAAGCAATCCTAAAATGTGAATGGAATCACAGAAGACCTGGAATAGCCAAAGCAATCTTGAAAAAACAAATTCCAAACTTCCAGTTATATTATAAAGCAGCAGTAGTTAAGACAGTATGGTACTGGCATTAAGAACAGACATACCAATCAATGGAACAGAACAGAAAACCCAGAAATAAATCCACAATTATACAGTCAATTACCCTCTGACAAAGGAGGAATGAATATCCAGTGGGAAAAAAACAGTCTCTTCAACAAATGGGTACTGGAAAAACTAGATAGCAACATGCGAAAGAATCAAACTGGATCATGTTCTCACACCATACACAAAAATACACTCAAAAGGATTAAAGAACTAAATGTGAGACCTGAAACCATAAAAATCCTTGAAGAGATCACAGGCAGTAATCTCTCTGACATCGGCTGCACCAATGTTAGTTATGTCTCCTGAGGCAAGAGAAATAAAGTAAAAAATAAACCACCGGGACTCATCAAAATAAAAAGTTTCTGCACAGCAAAGGAAACAATCAACAAAACTGAAAGGAAAACTACGGAATGGTAGAAGATATCTGCAAACCCAATAAAGGGTTAATATCCAAATATAAAGAACTGATACAACTCAACACCCAAAAAACAATCAATAAAAAAAATGGGCAGAAGACATGAACAGACATTTCACCAAAGAAGACATGCAGAGGGCCAACAGACACATGGAAAGATGCTCATCATCACTCATCATGTGGGAAATGCAAACCAAAACTACAATGGGGTATCACCTCACACCTGTCAGAATGGCTAAACTCGACATCCAACAACACAAGATATAACAGCTGTTGGTGAGGATGTGAAGAAAGGGGAACCCTCTTCCATTGTTGGTCGGAATGCAAACTGGTGCAGCCACTGTGGAAAACCGTATCAAGATTCCTCCAAGTGGAAAAAAGTATGGAAGTTCTTCAAAATACTGAAAATACAACTACCCTATGATCCAGCAATTACACTCCTGGGTATTTACCCAAAATATACAAAAACACTAATTCAAAGGGATACATGCACCCCCATGTTTATGGCAGCCTTATTTTCAACAGCCAAACTATGGAAGCAGCCCAGGTCCCCATAAATAGGTAAACGGATAAAGAAGATGTGGTGTACACTTGTTGGGATGAGCACTGGGTGTCGTATGTAAGCGATGAATCACGGAAATCAACCCTCAAAACCAAGAGCACACAGTACACATTGTTATGTTAGCCAATTTGACAATAAATTATATTTAAAAAAAACAGATGTGTGTGTATATATACAATGCAATGTTATTCAGCCATAAAAAAATGAGATCTTCCCATCTACAACCATATGAATAGAGACAGAGAGCGTAATGGGAAGTGAAATGAGTCAGTCGGAGAAAGACAAATACTATATGACTTCACTCATGTGGAGTTTAAGAAACTAATGAGCAAAGGAAAAAAGAGAGAAACAAACCAAGAAAGAGACCCTCAACCATAGAGAAGGAACTGATGGTTCCCAGAGGGGAGGTGGGGAAGGGTAGGGGGGAATAGGGGATGGGATTAAAGAGTGCACTTATCATGATGAAAAATATTAAATGTTAAAAAACAACAATAATGCTGGGCTCTACTTGACAAAATAAAGCATTTAAAACTATACATATACACACAGTAAGCAGTAAGAGCAAAAATATTCTGTTCAGCAAACATGAAATACTTCATTGGTATTTCAACACACCAGCTTTGTAACTAACAACCACCTCTCAAAATGTGCTGTTTTTCCTGAAGCTCCTTCTTGGGGTGACTGCCTGGGCCAACTCTGCCCTGAGGCGGGACCACAGAGCCACTCTGTGTGGCCACCAGCGACAGGCACTGCTTAACCCCAGGAGGTGTTGGGACATCCTTCACAAAGACAAAGATGCCCAGATGACCTGGGAGCTGGGCAACATGTAGCCCTGTGAGCTGAGGCTTCCGGAACCCAGCCCTGCTTGCAAGTCAGGCTGGCTCCACAGCCTCTCACAGGAGCTGCTGACCTTGAGGGGACCCTCTTGCTCTAGGCCTGCGCCCTATCTGACCCCAAGTTCATACCCACGTCGGGCCTTCTGCTGTGCCTGGTGATCGGAATCTGAGCTGCCCTTCCTCTGCCAGGGGCACCAAGGCCACAGGGACACCAGCCCGTCCCTTGATCTCCTGGTCGACATGGCCGGTTGCGGCCTTCCCAGGGTCTCCCTGGGATTTCTGCCCTTGGAAAGCCGCTCCCTTCCCAGAGCTGGTGCCTTCCAACCCTGTGTAAGTAACTCCCCTTCAACTTACGTCTTCCGGCAGCACAGAGAACTTCATTTTACTACCACAGTGTGAATATCATAAAAAGCACCTAGAACAGGGCCAGCTAATACAGCATCATGTCCCCTGCTAAACAATTCGGTGAACAAAAAGGAGAGGACTTTCCATCTGGAATGTGCTGTTTTCATAGGAGAAAATGAATTCTACAACAAAACTCATCCGTGTGTTTAATACACACATTCAAATTTCTTTCAATCAGCCAATTTCCCTTCCTAAAATGAGGCTACAAGATCTTGGCAGGGACAGGATGGGTTTCAGGAAATCATTGCTGCCCTTTCTGTGAGCCGAACCCAGGGTTTAGCGCTCAAATACAGCCACAGCCACAGCTCAAGAAAGCGGGCCATTCGTACATGCAAACACTGAACACGTGTGAGCACCGGAAGAGCTCCCAAACCCCAGCACCCCATCTCAGACACAGATCAGCAGCTGGCTCCACGCCCCCTTCTGGGCCACTGCGTCTACATCTACGCAGTCACATGCACATTCACATGGCTTTGCTGGAGTGGTCTTGCTGCAGCTGTGCTTAAACACAGTTTATCTTTTCTTCTCCAGTGTTAACATTCTCAAAGAAATTATGCTGGTTCTCACTACAGGGTGCACAGTTTGCTGCTAGTGGGTAACTTCCTGGTTTTATAACACATTTAACTTCTTAGGTACTTTAAAAAAAACCTAGCTTCTTTAAAAGAAAGTCTGAAAAGTATGCTTTTCACATTTACTACACGGTTTCTTTAAAGACTTTTTTGGAAGACCACCAAAATAAAAACAGGATTCTTAACCTTAGCTCGGCAGGAGCATTTCCTCCACCAAGCACGGAGCCAGAATGAAATTCCCTTGCTTGGCCATTTTAACCCAAGTCACCCCACTTTTGGTTTAAGTCATCACTGCTTTATTTTGACAGGACCTATAAAGACATTTGCCACCTTGCCCCCTTGCTATTTGTTCCAGGCTAACACCCGGCTATCAACCCAGTCACCCCAGTCTGTATTATCCTCAAAGATTTTCTTCTTTTACATGCCAAGCCTTGGGAGTGTACATACCAGATCAGCTGATCATTATAGAGGAAGGCAGTATATTTGACTATACTCAGGCTTTCCTCCATTCTATTGATAAAGGACTGGATTTTCAAGTAAGTCATTTTATCCAATGGGAAGAAGCTGATTCCACCAAAAATGTCAAGGAGATCGCAGGACTGCAAATGCAACGTTTGCAAGTACTGTAAGGGGAAAAAAAGGCATTAAATTTACTGAGAGTACATGGAATAGAGCATTGACAGCTAAGAATAATTAGTCAATTTACGATACAAATACATCCTAGCACATTGAGAAGACCAGTAAGCAGGTGAGCCACAGCTAACTAGATGTGAAGTCTGCACCAATTTCAAAATATTACATTCAAACGTAACTAGTTAATGTTTATTCAGGATTGTGTCTTGTCTCTTTGAAGTATGTAATTCCTTGTATTAATGCTTCTCAAATTACATTAATGTCATTAGGGATCTGAACAATGGTATCACGCACAGCCAGCTCCCTGTCCTACCAAAATAACGCTGAAAGGACTGGTCGTTAGTTATTGAGGGACAGGAGGGTACAGAAGGCAAGAACAGGAACCATGAGACAGCACAAGAGTAAATAATTATGGTCATTAAAGTGAAGAAACAGGGGCGCCTGAGTCGCTCAGTCAGTTAAGCCTCTGACTTCAGCACAGGTCATGATCTCACGGTTCATGGGTTCAAGACCCATATCAGGCTCTGTGACGATGGCTCAGAGCCTGGAGCCTCCCTCAGATTCTGTGTCTCCCTCTCTCCCTGACCCTCTCTTGCTCTCTCTCTAAAAAATAAATTAAAGCATTAAAAAAAAAAAAAAAAAACAGACTAAGGTAATTTAGGGAACAAACTGGGAATTATTCCACTAAGATAAACTGATTTTTACCGGAGGTAAGGTATGTAAAACTCAACTTACAGTAAAACAGAGTGGCAACTATTTAGGGACATTCATTCATCATTTGAGGAAAAAATCACATTACTAACCACTAATGGGGGGCACCTGGGTGGCTCAGTCAATTAAGCGTCAGACTCTTAATTTCGGCTCTGGTCACGATCTCACGGTGTTGAGTTCAAGCCCCACACCGGGCTCTGTGCTGACAATGCAGAGCCTGCTTGGGATTCTCCCTTTCTCCCTTTCTCTCTAACCCTCCCTTACTCATGCCGTCTCTGTCTCTCCAAAAATAAACTTAAAAAAAAAAAAAAAAAGCCACTAATGGGATAAAGTCTGTGTGTCATAGCAAAAATTTTTACCTTGAGTCAACACAGGTTATTGTTCACGAAGGACAATATTGTTTCATCACTCCATAAGAATGTACAACTCGGGCAGAGTTTAAATCCTGCTAATTAACCAATCACCATGCAGAAAGCTCACTTCTGAGTAAGCCCGCAATGGCAGACCCAGGCGGAGCAAGGCTGAGTCAGAAGGGGTCTCTGGGACATGGTGGGGGTGCACACAGACAGCAGGAGGCCCTGATCCTGCATCAGAGCTTCCAGAGAGATTCAAGAGTGCACGTCTCAAGAGTTTCCTCACTGGTCTGGTTTTGCCACCATAGTTCTTAGGCTCCTTGCCACTTTTCAAGTCCTAAGTTTTTTGGTCAATGAGAAACAAACTTATATATGCATATTTTTTTTTTAACCTTTTAATGTTTAGTTTTGAGAGCGAGAGACAGAGCATGAGTGGGGGAGGGGCAGAGACAGAGGGAGACACGGAATCCAAAGCAGGCTCTAGGCTCTGAGCTGTCAGCACAGAGCCTGACACAGGGCTTGAACTCACAAACCATGAGACCGTGACCTGAGCTGACGTGGGATGCTTAACCAACTGAGCCACCCAGGCGCCCCTGTATAGGTATATTCCTAAGGGTCTATTTGGAGACTACTAAGATTATAAATAAAATTCCGAGTACTTACCCGATGGAAGAACTTCTCTAATCTTTCTTTTAGGAGCTTGACACCTCCATCTTCCATGGCTCTCAGAAATGTACCATTAAAAAGCTAATGAGGTAAAAGATTTTTTAAAAAGTCAATTTCTTATCCCCTTCCATTTCCCAGTATAACACATTCTTCTTTTCCTTTTACATTGACTAATCGACTTAATTAATTCCCCGTTCCTTTTAAATGTAGAAAATATGCACATGAGAAAGTGTGAGTTATAAAATAAATCACAAGGGGCGCCTGGGTGACTCAGTCGGCTAAGAGTCAGACTTCAGGTCAGGTCATGACCTCGCGGTTTGTGGGTTCGAGCCTCGCATTGGGTTCTGTGCTGGCAGCTCAGAGTGTGGAGCCTGTTTCAGACTCTGTGTCTCCCTCTCTCTCTCTGCCCCTCCCCTGCTCATACTCGGTCTGTCTCTGTCTCAAAAATAAAAACTATAAATTTTTTTAAGTAAATAAATCACAAAAAATCAACACACTATTAAGTGTTATCATTTCCATGTCTTCACCTAATCATTTGGGACTTTTCTTTTTTTAACCTCAATCATACCTAAGTTTCACTTTACATAAATAATACCAACGGACATTTAATCATACAAATATCTGCAGTATGTCTTTTCCTCAAGAACATGGAATTTCTTGTTTACCAATGGGGACACATTCCTGGTACAAGGCTGGAGACAGAGGAAGACTCAATACTCCGTGAATAAGTAAATGTGTAAACCTCCACACTGTTTCAAAGGCCCCATTATTTCCTCTCCTAAGACAGACAGTCACCGTGCGGTCATCTAAAGACTTAAGATTTTTAAACAATGCCTGTAAAGAGGGGAAAGTGGCTGGACTCCATTCAGAAAGAGCATCGTGCTCACCTTGTACATGCTGTAGCACTGCTGTAGCACTGAACTGTAAACCTTGTCCTGCAAACACAAGGACACAGATGTCAACATTAGGGGAAAAAAGTCCGCTGTAGGGCAAATGTAGGACAAAGCTTACCACCTCAGTCCCACAACAGTTGTGTGCTGAAAACAAAAGGTATTTAAACGCAGTTCTGACCAGTAACTTTAGGAGGGCCTTGAACATATGATTAGGAGGCACCGGTGAGACACGCTGTACGTTTTTATAAAATTGTGCTGATGTAAGCAACAAACCTAAAACTTCACTATGCATATCCTGAGAATCTTCTGCAAAAGTGACTTCGCTTAAATCTGACCAAGTCACTCAACATATCCAGTAATAAACTTTCTAAAAACGTGAAATTAAAAAAAGGGCACTTGTGGGGATGAGCACTGGGCGTTATTTGGAAACCAACTTGACAACAAACTATTTGTTAAAAAAAAAAAAAAAAGACACGTTACCAACAACTCCTCCTCTTGGTATTCAACAATTGGTTTTCCGTCTTTACTCTGCTTTTCAATTATAGGGTTCCGAACAACCTACACAATTTGGGTAAAAAGAAATTACACAATGAACCAGTCAGATAAATTCTTAATTTTCCCTTAAATTAAAAAACTTGATCATGACACAATACCAAAAACACACCTTCTAAAAACAGCCCCAAGAACAAATACACTGACAAGGAGTCTAATTTTAAAACTGCAACCAACTTTGCTGTAATTTTACTTTGCAACAGCTTAGAGGACTTTCCTAAAGTCCTAAGAGTAAAGCAAAGATCACCCATTAACTTCATCACACAAATTCAAAAAGATGAAAGAGATGTACTGTGCATGTAAATACCATGACCATCCAGAAATTTTCTTCTGGCTCATTGAAGAACTGCCTATTCTTCTGTGTATGTAAAGATTTTGCAGGTTTTGATGGGCTGAAGGTCCTAAAAAGGTTAACGAGAAAGAATAATTGGGGGCAGTTCTCCAAGTTGTAGAAGTTGTAAGAACTTGCTAAGAAGCTCTGCAAAAGCGCTTTTAAAGGCATTACCTCGTAAACTGTACAATAGCTTCACATAATCCGACATTTCTAATTTTTTCATTCTTTTCTACTTCGTTTGGGTAGTAAAACAAAATTTTATTTTCTTCCTAAAGTATGAAGAAACAGAATCGCCACATCAGGGTCAGCATTTTCTCCATCTCAGCTGTTGAAAATGCAGTTTCAAGTCAACGTCTCACGTCACAGACAACGGAAAATCAAAACTAAACCCCCTTTTCAGAAAATCAAGAATTATCTTCTCCTCACTATGTAAATAACGCTCACCAGTCTGGAAGGCAATTGTGATATTCAGTAAGTCACGTGTCATCTGGAGGAGCACTAAGCAATTATTCTGAAAACTCGATCTTACGGTTTATTGCCTCCTGCTGATTTGTAAAACACCGACGTTTGTAAGAAATACGCCTGTGCGCACGTGCGTAGACATACGCCTCCCGCCTCCCGGAGAGTTAAACTCAGCAGGTTCACGGGCATTGAGACTGACAGCCTTTAAAGGGACAGTGATTTGCTACCCACAGCACCGGACATCCTTTGAGGAAGTTCACCGTCCCCACCTAGAAAGCAAACAAAGCCACCCCTGGAATTTATTTTTCAATTCGGAAGAGAACTTTCCATGGGTCCTCCAAGCCTGCGTTATTTTAGGTTTTACAGTCCACCACTCGATCCACGCTTCTAGGTGGGGACCTCCGGTAACAAAAACATAAGCTCAATTTCGGCCACCCAGAACTGACGCAAAAAGAGCCCCAACCCATGTGGAGGGATGAGCCCGCTGAGGCTTCATTCCGCACACAGGCTTGAATCCAGAACCCGAAAGGGACCCCGCCGGCGTGGTCCGGCCCCCGTTTACTCCCTGGCTCGGGCACGCACTTGGCACAGGGCAGCCTCGGTAAAAGCCGCCCCAGGAGCGCAATGACAGGCGCTGCCCGGGGTCGCCTCCCGGGCGCGCCCCTGGGCTCCCGGGTGCCGCCGCCGGCCTGCCGCCCCCGCCCTCGGGCCCTCCTCCGACCGCCGGCTGACACCGGCGCCGGGTCCGGCTGCGGGTACCTCGCCCTCACGCGGCCCGAAGCGCGGGTTGTAGATGAAGAAGCTCAGCAGCGCCGGCGGGAACTGCTTCTCCTGGGCCGCCCCGGCCCCGGCCCCGGCCCCGGCCCCGGCCGCCGCTGCAGCCATCCTGGCCCGGCCCCCGCCTCGGGAGCCTCCCTCTGCCCGCCCAGAGACAGCCGCCCCGAGGAGACCGCACTTCCGCCTCGCTCGCCGCCGCCCCGGAAGTGGTCGCCGCCGGCCCGGAAAAAGAACCCGCAGTCTAGCGTCCCCTTCTGGCGAGCGCCCGGGAGCGTCCGTTCGGTTTGTTTGCTGGGTAGGCGTTTCATTTTTGAGTTAAGATCAAAGTGAAACTGTTTGCTCCCAGATTTCTGCCCTGGCAAAAGGCCAGGGCTGCGTATTTGAAGAAAAATAGAACCGGCCTAGTTTTTTAGAAGGGAGAGCGAAGGCGCAAAGGAAGCCTCTGCGTTGAGAGAAACACGTGTAGGGGCGGACATGCATTCACCTGGGCGATTTGCCCACCTCCATCATCCACAGGGTCCCTCCTGGCATTTATGGGTTTTCTTGATCCTTGTTTGAGAGGCCGCAGGTGACCGCTGGATCAAACCAGCCCGACGGGCTTTGCGCCTTACCCCAGGCTCGGGGTTGGAAGATTGCGCGTAAATGTGAAGGCGCTGGGCTCCGCGAGGCGCGGCGTGTGCGGTCCAAGTGGGACCAGAACGTGGCCTTCTCCGCGGAGTTGCGTAATCCCAGGCCTTGGCCAGCAGGGCAAAGCCCTGCCGTAGCTTTGAGGGGCCCCTTGCTTTTAGCTCTGGATTGTGAGTGGGGCTCTGCTGCTGAGTGTGGAGCCTGCTTAAGATGCTCTCTTGCTCGCCCTCCCTCCTGCCCTTCCCTGCTCACTTACTCTATATTAAAAAAAAAAATGACTAATAGTAAATGCTCACCTAATAGAAATTTTGCTTTGAGGAATCAATGGGACTATGAATTTGCAAAGAGTGCTCAGCACTTCATCATTATTCAACAAACGGTTATCATCACTTGCTCTTCAAAGACTTTCCCAACTAGTTTGCTGTAGTGGATGAAATTCTCCGTTATATACTAGTGTTTTGGTATTAAAGCAACAATTAAAAAATATTTTAAAATAGCAGAATCCCCTCTCCTCCCTTCGTTTAGCCCCACAAAGTCTCTAGGGACTTCTAATACATAAAATAGATGCAGGGCTTCCATGGTTGAATGAGAGGCCACCTTCTTCTGTCTGTTCTTCCACTTGCTTCCCACCATTCCCATCTCTCTTGGAGACCCTAAAGCTCCTGCCTGGGACCCTGCGACTTCAGCAATACTTTGACTACTCCATGTTAAAGAAGTCTCTCCTTTGTCTCTGAGTACATACTTCTGGAAAAAGTAGTAGAAAGAGCCCAGGGCTGAAGTTGGGACCCCTGGATTTTATTTCTGGGTTTCGCCATTGACCATTGACCTTTGACTTCTTTAATCTCAGCTTCCTCCTTGGTAAAATAAGGTCCGTCCCTGCCTCACAGGGTTACTGCAGAATTACACTGGACGGCACAAATGAAAACACTTTGTAAAGTACAAAGTACTATATAAATGTGGCACAAGGGCACTTCACAGGATTAGTCAAGCTTTTTCCCAGCACACTTCTACTTCCTTGTATACTTTGCCCCCTCTGCACCCATTCAACCAATTGAATTAATTGCCACAGGAAAGGAAGGATACAGAAACAAAATGAAACTATCAAAACCCCAGAAATCAAAGTGCTTTCTCAGTTTCAAAAGGCAAGAAAGCCAAAAAAGCTTAGACAATGACGCATCTCCCTCTCTCACTGTCCAAGGGTGTATATGGGTGCCAGGTGGGTGGAATGGTGATGATGGACACCTAGGTATGTTTGGAGACCTCAGAGTAGAGAGGGCGTGTCCTTGCTTCCTTGTGAAGCTGGGGAGGTAGCAAGCCTTGTAGTTTCTCTCTGTGCCAAGCATGATGCAGCAGCAGTAGTGTCTCAGCAGGAGGCTATACTTGGTACAGGACACACCCAAATACTAATATACAGAATTCAGAGAAAGCCAGACCTGAGAGGCCTTAAGCTCAGGACAAAGTGGAGGTAGCTGTGGCCTTGAGTGGCAGGTCCACTTGAGTGGAGAGGAATGAGGATGACTTAGTGGCCATCTAGTAGTGGCCGCTGATCTGTGTCGGGATCAGTGCTGACCGCTCCAAGCCTGGAGGCTGCTTTGGATTCTGTGTGTCTCTCTCTCTGCCCCTCCCCTGCTTGCTCGCTCGCTCTCTTTCTCTCTCAAAAATAAACATTAAAAAAAGAAGATATTTTGCACAAAGAATTGGTAAACTCACAAGGGAGGAACCCACATGGAGGCTCCTGAACGTCCCTCCTCCCACAAACACTGACTATACAGCTACATGTAGGGCAATTCCTTCTGAGAGAAATCCAGAAACAAGCTGAGTGACTCCCACACACCAGTCGAATGAGGAAACACCCAAATCAAAATGAGTAGGAAAGGCTGAGACACACTCTGGCCAGCCACAATCCCCACCGCAGCACAGTTAGGAGGGGACGCTCAGCTCCTAGCCTCTCCCTGGGTTTGGACTACACATCTAGCACCCCAACTTTTAAGACTCCCATCTGCAGCCCTACCCCCAAAACATCTAACCTTGAAAAACCTTGGGGCTTGCATTTATTAGACCCACAGGACTGTAGGAAACAATGTAGCGGATCTTCATCAAGCAGGGAGCACTCACGGTTGCTATTCCCGCCAAAGCTCAGTGCAGAGGGAGTGGGCAAAATGCCTGTCTATCAGTCTTTCCCTGGAAGGGATTTTACTGTTACTTTGCAAACTGCTGCCTGAGGGTCTGGCTTCTAATTTAGCAAACACATTTAGGGGCTGGCTGCAATCCTTCCTAAGGCCCAAAATAGCAGGTTGGCATTACACCCCATTTTTCCCCTCTGGTTCACTTCAAGACTTAAACCACGACTGGGTATCTCCCTGGAAGGAGCTTGTCCACACAGGTAGTGCCCCAACATTTATAGTCACCACCCAAATTACCTGCTTCTGATAGTCCCCCAAATTACCTGCTTCTGATAGGCAAAAGGCACATGTGAACCCCACAGCAAAAAATAGGCCAAGGGCGCCCTCCAGTGGCTGTACTCCTGGGCTCAGCACAGAGAGAGTGGGTCCCTCTGGATGAATTCCACTGCTTGTCTTTGAGTTCACTTATCCCAAAAGAATATCAAGAAGGAAACATCGGCCTTAAAGCACAAGTTAGACCAAATGTCTCCAAAAAACATGTATAGGACATACCATTCACCATCCAACAGCAGCAGAATTCTCATTCTTCTCAAGTATACACAAAACATTTTCCATGGTAGATCACGTTAGAGCACAAGTCTTTTTTTTCTTTAATGTTTATTTATGGGGGGGGGTACATGCAGGGGACAAGGAGGAGGGAGAGAGGGAATCCTAAGCAGGCCCCACTCAGCACGGAGCCCAGCTGGGGGCTCAGCCTCACAAACCTTGAGATCATGACCTGAGCCGAAATCAGGAGCCGGATGCTTAAACAACTGAGTCACCCAGACGCCCCATCGCACAAAACAAGTCTTAACAAAATTTAAAAGATTGAAATCCTATCAAACATCTTCTCTGACCACAAAGTACATTGAAACCAGAAATCAGCTACAAGAAGAAAACTGGAAAATTCACAAATAGGTAGAGATTAAGCAACATGCTCCTGAGGAACCAAGGGGTCAAAGGAGAAATAACAATGGAAACAAACAAAAATATCTGGAGACAAATGGAAATGGAAACATCGTGAAAATTGCCAGGTGCAGCAAAAGCAGTTCTGACTGGGAAGTGTGGAGAGATAAATGCCTGCATTAAGACAAATAGAGGGGGGCGCCTGGGTGGCTCAGTGGGTTAAGCGCCCAACTTCGGCTCAGGTCATGATCTCACGGTTCTATCTCACGGTTCGTGGGTTTGAGCCCCGCGTCAGGCTCTGTGCTGACAGCTCAGAGCCTGGAGCCTGCTTCAGATTCTGTGTCTCCCTCTCTCTCTGACCCTCCCCTGTTCACATCCGGTGTGTCTCTTTCTCTCAAAAATAAACATTTAAAAAAAAAAGGAAATGCAAACTGGTGTAGCCACTGTGCAAAAGACTATAGAGGTTCCTCAAAAAATTAAAAATGTAAGTGCCATATGATCCAGTAATTTCACTACTAGGTATTTACCCAAAGAATACAGAAACACTAATTTGAATCAGTGTTTCTGTATATATCCTAATACAGGGCATAGGCACCCCTATGTTTATTGCAGTATTATTTACAGTAACCAAGACATNAAAAAAAAAAAAAAGAGACAAATAGGTGGTGCCTGGGTGGCTTAGTTGGTTAAGTGTCTGACTCTGGATTTCAGCTCAGGTAATTTCAGCCCACAGTTTGTGGGTTCGAGCCCCACATTGGGCTCTGCACTGAGAGTGCAGAGTCTGCTTGGGATTCTCTCTCTCCTCCTTCTCTCAAAATAAGTAAACTTAAAAAATAAAGAAAAATAGGTCTCAAATAAATAACCTAACTTTACACCTTAAGGAATTGGCAAAAGAAGAATGAAGCCCAAATTTAGTAGGAAAAAAAAGGAAGAAAAAAAAAGATTAGATTGGAAATAAATGAGATAGAGACTAAAAAGACAACAGAAATGCTCAATGCAATGAGGAGGTGGGTTTTTGAGAAGATAAACAAGATTGACAAACCTTTAGCCAAACTGAGAAAAAAGACACAAAATGAGAGATGAAAGAGATGACAACTGGTAACACAGAAATAATAAGGGTCGTAACAAACTACTGTGAATAATCACACATCAACCAATTAGATAATGCAGCAGAAATGGCGAAGTTGCTAGAAACATGTAACCTACTAAGACTGAACGATGAAGAAATAGCAAATCCGAACAGACCAATTAAAGAATTAAACTGTAGGGGTGCCTGGGTGGCTCAGTCAGTTGGGTGTCTGACTTCGGCTCAGGTCACGATCTCATGGCTTGTGGGTTTGAGCCCTGTGTCAGACTCTGTGCTGACAGCTAGCTCAGAGCCTGGAGGCTGCTTCAGATTCTGTGTCTCCCTCTCTCTGACTTTCCCCTGCTCACGCTGTCTCTCTCTGTCTCTCAGAAATAAATAAAACATTAAGAAGAAAGAATTAACTGTAT